GCCTTCCCCAGACTCCAGGACTGGCCCTTCTTCCTCCCCAACCTCCTCACTGTCCGAATCCGCTGCCAACTGCACTGGTCGCTGGTGGGCCACAACACTTCCTGGTGACCACATCCCCCCTTTGACTGTCCTCTCTTGTCCAACAGATGTTCATGCAGCAGTCCATGTCTGTGGTCTTCAGCACTGTGCCCTCCCAACAGAGCCCAAGGCAGCAACCATCGGGAGCAACCAGGCCGGTTGCTTCCAAGAAGCCCCAACAGCAGCAAAGCCTCATGGGAGCAAAGCAGTTTGGGGGTGCCTCCTCGGCCCCCCAGCCCCCCTTCCTCAGGGAGCCACGTGGTGCATCAACCCAGGTAACTCCCCGCTTGCTTGGTTTTTGACATTATTACGATTGGTGTAGCAGGGTTATTGGTGCCCCCTGAGCTTGGCGGTTTTTGAGCAGGCATTCCATTGCTCAACTAGGTAACATAATCAATGCAAGGTGGGAGTGGGGTTTGTGGAGGGGAGGGGGAGGCCTGAGGGGTCCTTGGTGCTCTCTGAGCTTGGTGGTTTCTTTGCAGACATTTCACTACCCAACTAGGTAACATAATCAGTGCTAGAAGGGAGTGGAGTGATTGCTCTGATTTTATATACTGGTTGGCTTGCTCTGTCGGCGTTGTGGGAATGTTGGTGGGAGTATAAGCAGGGAACAAACTCCACTCCCTTCTAGCACTGATGATGTTACCTAGTTGGGTAATGAAACGTCTGCAAGAAAAGCAGCCCCAAGCTCAGAGAGCCCCCAGGGCCCCCAAATATTCTCTTCTGTCCATTAGTTTAATCCTCTGTGGTTTCCCTACCCAGCCCCACCTCAAGCCATCTCTCGCCATGAGACGAATTTCTCCCAGGTAAAGCCACATGAACATAATCGTGATTCAAAAGATCCAGAATGATCCCAAACCCAGAGATGGTTCCTATCGCTTCCCATCCATGAGCCGTAACTGGCTCAGAGAGAGTCTCTCAAATACCAAGTAGGAAAGGAAAGGGGAAATCCGCAGGGCTCCTATTCCACCATTTATGCTTTGATTTCAGGGACAACAGCGGAAACACGTTGCGAGAGGAAGCCAGATGAAGGCGGGGTGCATGCCCATCCAGATGAGCATTTCTCTGCCCGCCTACAACAACCCCATGGTTTTTACTCAAACGCACCCACTCCCGGTGCCCTCTCCGATGCCACAAGAACTGGGCGAGAGGCCCCAGCCGCCCAATTACAGCCAAGAAGGAAACTTAAGGTACGGATGAGGAGAGACCTTGAGAACGGAGGAGGAACTAGTTTTGTGGGCAAAGTGTCCCTCAGTTCAACCTTCTAGAAATGAAGAACTTGAGGTGTTCAAGTCCCAAAGGTGCTTTTTGGCAAGAGGCAACTGGACTTTCTGGGTTTTTCTCTGAAGGCGTTTTTCACTTCTCATCCAAGAAGCTTCTTCGGCTCTGAAGAGATGGTGGGAATGGAATAAATCCATGGCACAACATAGGAGAACCACTCGGACACAAACTGGGCAACACGCAGTACGATGCAGTGAGCCGTGTGCAGATCTATGCATTGGGGAAACAAAACAACCACTTCACAAACGCAACAGAGGAGAACAAACCCATCAAGATTCAGCAGTCCACCTGCACTGAAGAGACAACGGCTGCTCTTCTGAAGACAGCCAAGTCCACATTTTGGACACAGAGGACTGCTGGCTTGAAAGAGGGGCCAAAGAGGCCATCCGGCTCAAAATTGGACAGCCCTTCCTCCACAGAAGGGGAGGGATATGACACCACGTATCTCCAGTCTACAGCACAGACCTTTCAGCAGTTCCAAGAAAGCTCCACTCCCACCTGTCCTGTTCAGGAGACCCTGAGGACACAGGTAAACCTCCAGGTGGCCTCAATGTTCCTCTAAAAGGACGCCCATGACCAGCTCTCTGCAATGAGCACCAATCCTTCCGTTCCCCACCATCCTGTCAGAACGCAAGAAGCTTCTTGGAGGAGAAGCGAAGGGTCTTAAAAGAAAAAACTAGAAAGTCCAGTTGCCTCTTGAAAAAAGCCCCTTTGGGGCAACCACAACGTAGATGACGGAGAAGCTCCACAAACTAATGTTCCAAGTGGTGCCTTGTCTGATCTCTTTGTTAAGCATTGTGGTCCAAAATGCGTACAACGTGCATGAAAAGCATTCAAGGACCATTTATCTCACAGTTGTGTGTTGTGTGTGCTGTTTTCCGTCCCCAGGATGTTGTTGGATCAACCTGTGCAGTCACTGATGTCCAGCACAAGCGGGAACAATCAGGCCTCCCAAAGCAACATTAGTAGGCAGCAGAGCAAGTAAGCCACCATCCTATCGTGATGACTATACCAACTGAAGATGAGCAGACTTCCTCTCCCAGAATGCTAAGCAATGGCTTGGAACTCTGGGAGTTGAAGTCCATATACCTAGAAATGGCCAAGATTGGGAAATCTTCCTGGACTGAATAAATGCAAATTCTGTAGAATTTTCTAGAATGTAACAAGTGACTTGTGTATTGTGAAGCCAGATTTGGACATTGTAGAGTTCTCCAGACATAGATAGATGGTGGGCCATAAATTTTGACTTGCTGCTTTGTGGGAGCATATTTTGCCCTGCTAATGTTTTGATGAGACCGAACTTCATCCTAAGGGATGGCTCAGTGGCTAAGATGCTGAGCTTGTCGGTCAGAAAGATCGGCAGTTTGGCAGTTCGAATCCTTAATGCTGCGTAACAGAGTGAGCTCCTGTGACTTGTCCCAGCTTCTGCCAACCTAGCAGTTCAAAAGCAAGTAAAAAATGCAAGTAGGAAAATAGGGACCCCCTTTGGTAGGAAAGTAACAGCGTTCCACATAGACATCTTTGGACAGCGCTGGCTGTTTGCTTAGAAACGGATAATGATGCAAAATTAACATCCTGTTTGCACGAACCGATGCGAACTGGCTGAATGCCATCCCTGGTTTACTGGCCGGATGCCCTTCCTGTCGCCAATGTGGCGTTTTATTTCAGCAGATATATTCTCATGTTGCCCAGAGAGATAACTGCCTCCACCTAGGATTGAACTCTCAGCCTCCGGATTGTGAGGGGAGAGCCCCACCTCTAGGCCACTGCGCCACTCTTGGGTCTCCTTCTATTTACGGCGTCTCCAAACTTGGCAACTTTTAAGATTTGTGGATTCCAGTTCCCAGAAGTTGGTCGGGGCATTCTGGGAGTTGAAGTCCACCAGTCTTAAAACTTGCCAAGCTTGGAAACTCCCGGTCTATTTAAAGGCTCGTCTTGGACCTTCTCCATGAGGTCCAGCTGCCTCTTTTTGACGTGGGAGGAAACCTTCCATTTGTTTCTTCATCAAACTTTCCCTTTCCCCCCCCTGGAAGGTTTACACAAGAACCGCAGAGTCTGCCTTCCGCAATCCAGATGCAACCCGTGACGTGCGCGGCCATCCGGGCCCCTACGCCGTCCCCTGGCTTCACCCCTTCTCTGATGATGCCCCAACCCAGCGCGACTGTCCTGCAGAGCCATCCGGCCAGCTCCCTCCACCAGTGGACGCCCCAGCCGGTGCAACAGCCTCACCTTTACCTCCAGGTAACGGTTTTGCCAAAAAAAGCCCCTTTGAGAGAACCACGGCTGACCGGGAGGGCCGAGCATCTCCTTGACAGGTTCTTTGGAGCCGCTTCACGTAGACCCTTCCCTCCCTCACAGATGCCGAGCGCAGCTGAACCAGGGCACAACCAGCACTCTTTCCAGCAACCGCCCTTACCTCAACAGACGGCCACGGTGGGCTACTTCCACCACCCGCAGCCCCCCAGCCACCACCTGCAAGGGCAGCCCTGCAGCTTACAAGACTTGCCCGAAACGCAGCTGCCTTGAGGTCCTCGGAGGAGAGACGGTCGTCACGTTCCCCTCGGGGAGGGCAGCGGATCCCGAGCACCGAGCAGGAGAGCTTGGCTCCTCCTGAGAAGGCTGCAAGGCGTGAGGAGAAACGCCCGGGAAGGAGGAGGAACGGAGAGCCTCAGCTGGCCTCCTCTCTGCTTAAGGGAACCAGCAGCACCAAAAGGCAGAGAGCGCCTCGGCTGTTCCACCTTTGCAGCTCCACAAGCACAGGGAGGAAAGTTAAAGGAGGTGCCATGTGCTTAAGGAACTGTCAGTCAATGTGAGTTTGACAAGCAGAGCAGAACTAAGAGCTGGCATGGACAAGAAAGCAGCTGGACTGGAATGGCGAGAGACTCCAGGATTTGCAGGAAATCACAACCCTAATAATTACAACTAAGTTTGCATGCAGCTGAGCCATATGGCACGCAAACCGAGTTGCATATCCATGGTAAGGGACATGGTGGCTCAGTGGCTAAGATGCTGAACTTGTCGATCAGAAAGGTCAGCAGCTTGGTGGTTCGAATCCCTAGTGCTGTGTAACGGAGGGAGCTCCCGTGACTTGTCCCAGCTTCTGCCAACCTAGCAGTTCGAAAGCAGGTAAAAAATGCAAGTAGAAAAATAGGAACCACCTTTGGTGGGAAGGGAGCAGCGTTCCGGGTGCCTTCGGCGTTGAATCATGCCAGCCGCACGACCCCAGAGACATCTTCGGACAGCGCTAGCTCTTCGGCTTCGAAACGGAGATGAGCACCGCCCCCTAGAGTCGGGAATGACTGGCACAGATGTGCAAGGGGAACTTTTACTT